TTTTAAGGGGGTGGTCCGTACCCTCTGAGTTTTTTTTTTTTTTTTGTGGAGGGAGGGGAAATGCATTGAGGCACACCGCAGGGACAGCGGTAGTGTGGGACTCGGTGGATTTTTTTTATTAGACCACCCATACCCACTAAACCCCCCCCCCATGCCGCGTGGCTTTTGATCCACCCCGGAACCGCGTTAGCATTACTTCAGGGTGGAGCCACCAGGGAGACCATCGCGTCTCACAGCATTAACGAGCTAACTCGCCACCATTTGCTAGAAGTGCTGATGCTCTCGAGTCCTGAAAAGGACTCGGGGTCCCTGGGGACCAGCACCTTGTCTAGCGCTTCATAGTAGGCCGCCTACTCAGCCAGCACCACTACACCTTGTCTAGCGCTTCATAGTAGGCCGCCTACTCAGCCAGCACCACTATAAACTTAATGCTTTCTCTTGCTGATAGGTAAAAAGTACCCAGCGCAGCGTGGGTCCACATAAGCCTGTTTTTCAACTCAAGGCCTTTTTGTCTTATTTTGATCCTGCTTGGGCCTTATCCTTGACCTCCTTCAGGGCTCTTCTGAATAAAGAGCAGCTCCCGCTGCCTGCTTCGTGCTTGTTGTCTGTTGTTGGGCAAAGGAAGCACCGTGCTGTGCCTGGACACTCTTTCTTCCGGTGGTTTGAGCTTCCACACCGGAAGCAAAGCTTGGACCTCATCTTCCTCTACAATGGCATCCAGGTCTCGGACCTCTAATGTCACTTTTCTGTTGCTAATTTTGACAGTACCCTGTCCAGCTACCGACTTTTCAATTTGCTGTGAGAATGCCGAAGCATTCTCCACACCTTTGGCCTTAATAAGTATGTCTCCTTTTCTTGTAGTGACAACACTTTGGACTGCCACATTAGCCTTATCAGGGTCAAAGTTCGCCTTTATCGTCCTTAGCACCTTTGCAAAGGTCTGCCCTTCGGCCATCTTCACTACTACTGTTGTTGTCGCATCCACTTTTTTCTTCTGGCTTGTTTTTTGTTCTTTTTCTTTGAAGACATAGTATGCTGGCGTTTCTCAGGGCTGTCCGATGGGCTCCTGTTTCTTTTACTTCGTTCTATTTCCTTTAAGGCAGTGTTCAGGGTTCGTTTCTGTACATGCCGTCGGAAATTATCTCGCCTTTTTTCCCTCCACTGCAGGGATACAAAATTAAATATTAATCCTCTCCTTATTTCTTAATCATCAAATAACAATATGTCATGCAAAAGTTCTTGAAGTACGAACTTGCACCGGTACCTTTTTTGTATCATACACCTTAACGAATGAGAGAACAGATCGAAGCGTTTGTACTTGGCTTTTCTTTCACTGCTTTCAGTAAAGCCAATCTTTTATCAATGCAGTTTTGTTCCAACTGTAATGGCATCGTAATAGTTGATTGTATAATAACCTATTATTCTTGAGTAAACCAATGAAATGGGAGCTGTATGGGGAAGCGGATTGTAAGTTTAAAAAAGGTCTCTAGTTTGTGAAGATCAGCCACACCTCTCTTTTTAATAAATTAGGAATTAAAAAACTCAGAAATCGCTGTTTATGAATGTTAAAAAAATATACAAATGCCGACTAACAGTCGAAATCATGTATATGTTGTCGATAGAGGAAATATAAAGGACAATAGTACAAAATCAAAGTTTGACTTGCATACTATTATTATTTATTCAAAGATTAATTTTTTTTGAAACAGCTAAAATAAGAAAAAAATTTTACTCTTTTTACGTGAAAAAAAAAAAAAAAAGTTTTCTACAAAAATTGCTATGAAAGATGCAGATTAACTCATAATAATAACAACTATCAAGTTAAATAAGGAAAATAGCATCGCTAAAACCGATGGAGAAGACACCAATTTATTAGTGTAACTAAAACAGCTTGCACTGCCTAGTAATAAAATATTGCTTATCAAATCAGGAAAACCAACAGAAAGAAAAGTATATGATTGCATTAGTTTAAAATATTCCCACTCTAAACAGTACGGTGAGCTACTCTATATAACATCAAGTTAAGGTACAATCTCCTATTTTTCAAACAAGACATAAATAAAATCTGCAAAGTATTTGATAAGCGAAAATTACAGCTATCAAATTTCGTCATTTTTTATGACATAAATGCTCTACGTACATATAATGCTTGAATCGGATGCAAAATTTTTCCGTGTTTATACTCTACCACAAAATTTATAGGTGCTTTTAATGATTTAAAATACCTTCAGTTTGAAAAATCAACATTAAGGTCATTCAATTGAGCAGGTCTTCCACTGACCATGGGTGCAGCGGCTAAACATGCTTACCGCACATTTTTGCAACTGCAATCATGGCTCGGCAACTCCGTACACCCTGAACATGGGGTTAGACTATTGATGCTTATAATTTGCTTACGAAATAAAGCCCAGATTGAATGGTTCCAAAAGAAAATATGCGATAGCATGCAGATTTGGAAATAGTTATAAAAGCAAGATTTGTACCTGCAAAAAGCATGGTTTAAAATATTCAAACATATGCTTTACATGTAATAGTGAAAGTACCACTAATAAAAAACAAATTGCAGTTTTTCAAATGCTCTCGATGATGATATTGATGAAGAGGTCGTCTATGAGACCGATGTCGAAGAATCGGCTTTTGGTAATAATTGTAATAATTATGTCGGCAGTGAAGCTGATTCGTCAATAATCACTAAAAATAGCAATGATAGCGGTAGTGAAAAAGAGGATGAGCGGTCCTTAAAAAAGAATAGTCATATGATTTTTTGTTACAAGCTGTATAACATTGTGTATGCGTGAGACGATATTGAAAAATAAAATTTTTAGTTTTGTATTATCAACATTATTTACTAATTATTCACTTAGCGTAATTTCATTGTATGTACATGAAACCCATAGGTTTTGAGTAAATAATTCCTCAAGTTTGAAATAATGCATTTTTAACGGTTTCGACTGCTATTGCATTAGTTTCAATCCATCAGGGCTTTAATTTTACCTTAAGGTAGAAAATCCGTCGACCGAGTTATTTAAAGTGAAGTGCATTATTTACCGTATTATGACAGTCTTACAGGTCATGGTTATATACAATAGTAATAGAAAAAACATGAATCAATAAACTGACTATTTATTATTCTGTGCTGACACCTCATAATTTGAAAGAACTGAAACAAAGTAAGAATTTCGATGATTCTTACAGTATTTTGTATAAAAATAGTTTGATTCGTAACGTATATCTTTAAAGATGTCATTACTGTATCTTATGACAGCCCTATATTTCAAACTCGAATATCTTAAAAACTGGTACCAATACGTTAACTTTAATCAATTATCCATAACATGGAAAAATTTAATATGTAATATATTTCAAAACCTAGAAAGTTTGATATTTTAGTGGGGACGGATTTTCTACCTTCAGTTACGTACACTTATATAAAAAAATATTTATAAATATTAGCTCCTTGACAACTACGTTATGGCTGCTCTACGTAATGTTATTTTTGTACGTACATAGGTATAAGCGTTTAGGTATAGTAAATAGCTCTTGCACGGTTAACTTCAAGTATTATTAATTTCAACTATTTCATGCGTTACAGGTGCAATATATTTTTTTTATGGAAAGTACAAGTATTAAACTTGAGTGTGTCCAAACCTGATCACTTAAAAATATCAGCTATGGAATAGTATTAGCGACGAGTAGAAGAAAAAAATTTTTTATGACAAGAAAAATCGATTTTTAGACCGATTTTTCGCATATTACCGGCCTACTTAAAAGTGCTCAATGCTCACACATAGTAGAGTAACCTTTGGAGAAAGTTTTAAGCCCTGGACCGCTTGAAAAAACGAAAGGGTATATAAGCTTTTCAGGTTTCGAAAAATCGTCATTTCTTACAAAAAATCGATTTTTGCGAAAACCTCAATATTTTCAAAATTTTCAAAATTTTTTTTTTAAGCCAAGAGCTACAGTTTGACAAAATTTGATAAGAAATATAGATTTTTACAATAATACGAGCATTTTAAAAAAACGTAATTTTTAACTGTTAAGTATAAAATATTCTCGATTATTGTGTGTTGCATTGTTGTAAGGACCTGTATTGTGTCGTTTATTAATAGGCGGTTGCTGATACCCTGTTGTGCGAAGCGTTGGAATTCCTTAGTATCTTGGTAAATAAAATAGACTGAATTAGTAAGATCAGTCAGACATAAAATTTAGTCCCTCAAGTCATTATTGATGAGAAATGTATAAAATCATCTATATTCTTGATCGATTTTCCGTGTACTGGTACGATAAGTCAACACAATTTTGAGCCCTTTCTGCTATGCAAAGGTAACCCTTAGGATCCTTGTTTCTGCCCATGTTAAGCAATTTTCAGTGCGTTATCTAAGGTCGTTAATTCTTGCACTCTTACAGCATACAAGGGATCATCTGTGAGCCTACGTTTGAATGATTCTAATGCGATACCTTCCAACATGGTGACTCTTTAGGACATAGAGTGTTATTTAAATTGTCTTTAAGCGAGACTTCAGTGCTTTCAGTGTTTTTTTTTCAGATTACAATTACTCGAGTTAATAAATAAAACTTAATAACGCCATCTTAGCCATTCGGATCGCCTTCATACAAGATTTACAACTTGTTTTACGTAAAAAAACAGATAATTTATAAGTTTTAACACATTTTTCTCTTACAAAAATATGAGACACTCCTATACATTAGTAGTTTTTAAAATAGTTTTCGTCAGTAGTGCCCATCTGTTTTAAGGCAATTACCAGGCCCAAGAGCGTTTGCAAAGCAACCTTCAACGGATCCTTGTGATTGCCTTGGGCGGGTTCAAATGTTTAAAAAAACGCTTAAGGTGAAAATACTTATTTTTAGTATTATATAATGTGCTATTCTTGAATTGGTGCTGTTAAATGTCGTCACAAAGCAATGTCTATATTTCTTCTACTTAAGACATATTTAAGTAAAAAATACAATTCCGAGTACATAGAAGTTTAATTTTTTAGGCCGAGTTGCGGGATCATGACCATGTTGTAGAATGTATTGCTTGGGCGCCAGCGTGCGCAGGAGCAACGATCAATACAGCTGGTGGCACAGATAACAAAGGCGCTTACGAAGGCCCGTTTCTTGCTTCAGGCTCACGTGATAAGTCTATTCGAATTTGGGACGTTGGCAGTGGTGTTTGCCTCTTTATTCTGCTAGGACATGATAACTGGGTCCGGGGTATCGTCTTTCATCCGAGCGGCAAATTCATTGTTAGTGCATCAGACGATAAAACACTGCGGATCTGGGATATTCGCAACAAACGCAATATGAAGACACTTGAGGCTCATTCTCACTTCTGCACATCAGTAGGTACGAAGAAAGGTGCAATAGCTGTTATTTTCGCGTCTGATTATGCATTATATCAGGAAATAACAGCTTTTCACAATTAATATGTCTTTCATAAAATAATTATTTCGATGAATTAATAGTATAATTAAGTTATGCTCATTCTGTAATATAAATGCATTAGTTTTTTCACTCACTTATTAATAATCACTTTTGCATTCAATGAGTTAAATGAACTTTAAATGAGATATTCGTATTCATCTACATGAATAATTATAATAAAAATTATAATGTTCTTATACCCCCTTTCAGATTTTCATCGAAGCCATCCATTTGTGGTCACTGGCAGCGTTGACCAAACAGCGAAGATTTGGGAATGTCGCTAGTCTTTGAGTATACTTAATTTTTTTGCAGTCAAGTGAAATCAATTACCAAGCAAACAATTGTACGAGTATAAATCAAGAACCGTATTTCTAATATAATAAAAATGGTTTCATGACTCAGTTCATTCAAAAGCTATCGAATACATAGTCATAGTAATAATAATAACAATAATAATGATGATGATAATAACAATAATAATAATAATAATAATAATAATAATAGTAATAAGAAAAAGAAGAATTACAACTATAATAATAATAAAAAACAATGATTATAGTAACAATAGTAATAATGATGACGATGATGACGACGACAACGACGATAACGAATGAATAATGTAACAATTATTCATACTACTATTACCCTCATTATAATCACTGTGCTTTTATTGTATACAAACTCACACAAAATAAAGAGCTCTTATGTATTTATAACAGAGCATGATAATAATTAAAAAATTTACATAGCTTATTATATGATAATAATTCAGACGCAACACACTTAACGGAAGATTAAAAAATTGCTAAAGAGTGATAAAAAGTTTGTGCAACTTATATCAAAAGGGTAAGGTGATGCTAAAAAACAGGAGAATCACTTATTATTTTATGATCTATGTACATATCATAATAACCTTGCACCTCAGTTTAAGTTACACATTTTTGCAACGGTGCTTTTTCAACCCGTTGTCCAATTTAACGCATGAATACAAAATATGACAAATAGTGAAACACTATACTTGAAAATTAGATGTATTGATTGAATTTTATTTTATTTTGCTTTTTTTTTAATAAAGAAGGTTTTGTTTTCAATCAAAAAACAATGTTTTCAATATAAATATTTTTTTTGCTTCAAACACAAATTTAAATGTCAAAGCAAGCTAGTAATATAAACATGCTGATTAAAATTAAAGACTCTCTCTGCCAAACCAAAAAATACATTTTCTAAAATAAATTAATTTGAACTACATCTCACGTATATATACCAGGGTTTAAGTAAGATACGTTCATGTAGTTTGTCAATATGTTGTTAATTATAGTCCTTATTTAAAATTACTAATAAATATCGTGATAACTTCAACATTTATTGACAGACAGTACTGGTAGATAATAATTCAGGTAACTGATGTAGCCAACCGATTGGTTTATGTTTTCGAATGTCGCCCTTCACGACGGATTTGTTATTGTTAGTATAATTAGTGTGATACTATAGAAATTATTTTTTTCTATGTATTATCGATTATTTATAAAAGGGTTCTAACGGCTTAGTTAGTCATTGTTCTCACAATAAATAACAGTATTTCTTTTTAATAGCAGATCTTTCTATGAAAATTATGTGAAGAAAACGAAAATTCAAGTAACTAAAATGCAGTCTTACTTATGTGTTATGCAAAAAAAATTAAAAAGCAATCAGTTCATAAGAATTTTAGTAACATGTACTGCTATGTGATTTTTGTCCAATGTTGACAAAGTTACAATCGTTACTGTGCATAAAGAAAAGCTAATAATATGTCTCTTATAAAAAGTTTTTGGATCTTCCTTTATATTAGTCATTATTAACTAATTACTCATTGTAATGCATATTGACAAAATATTAGTAGTTTTCCATTTTGTTTGTTCCCATTTTACTAAATATGTACAATCATTTGGTTCTTTTTCTATACCTTTTGCTCTTTCTCTCTCCATTTCTTTTTCAAAAAGACCTCTTACTTTTTCAAGGGGCAACATATGGAAAACCATCATTCTAGTTTAACTCTGAACTCCAGTCTAGAAATTGAAGTTTTCTCATGTATTTTTCGTTAAAAGCTATGAAAAACTACCCAGTAACACAGAGGTCAACAAAAGTGCTAATAGTGTCAACTAACTTCAACAGGTAAGAATTTAAATATCGAAAGAATACCAATCGTTCTAATGAATTAAGTAAAAGTGAGCATCATTATTGTAGTATATAACGTATGTTTATTCAAAGTTAACTTTTGCGAAAAATTTTATGTAGGAAGAGGGTAGTTATGACTACAAAAAACGAGTTATGCGGCCGTCTGCATAATTCTACCATGTTATTAATATACATGTTAGAAGTACATAAAGTTTGCATAAGTCACTTTCTTAAAAAAAACATACACGTATATATGTGTATGTCTCCCGATATTATATAGTTGTTTTTGGGTCCCTACCTATTATTAGCCGCCCAGCAACGAATCACGTACAATTCTGCTTGTTTTTACGTGATACTAAAAATAGCTAGAAAGTAATTGGCCACCCAACCTCCTCCGCCTCCTCACCGCATCGCACATTGCTGCCCTGCGACCACCCTATTAAAAAAAATCGCATCTCTTAAAATCTTTAATGCTACTTTATTCCTCTATGATTTGACTATAGATCGGCAGCTAAGATTTTTCAAGTTTAACAACCGTATCACTGTCAAGATCATCAACTAAAACTTTTTAAACGTAATTATATTGCTGTCAGAATAAAAAAAATATAATATATGAAACTCTTTTTAGACTAACATTGTGATTATAAGTTATTTATTTTCAGTAGATTTTCACATCACACAGAAGGTACAACTGTAGTGCATTTAGAGTTTTTTTACAAAACTATATCCTTTAATTCCTCTTCCCTGTCCGCTATTAGCACAATGTCTTCTGCATACGAGGGGTACCACACTTTCTCATTTCCTGTACTACATTCTCCTACTTACCATTTTCTCAGCTCTTCCTCCAGGTCTGCCAAGTATACATCAAACAAAGTTGGGCTAAAAGGATATCCCTGCTTCACTCCTTTTTTAGTCCGAAATTTCTCTGATACTCCTTCATCTACTTTAATTACAATCCTTGTTTCTTTATAAATATTCATAATTCTGTTTCTTAATCTTTCACTCACCTCCATCTCTACTAGTCTTTCTTCTAGTACATCCCTACACACACGATCAAAAGCTTCTTTAAGATCTATAAAGCAAGCAAAAACCTTTTCTTTTGGTTTGCTTAATCTTTCTTCTACTATATGATTTAACATGTAAATTGCTTCTACTACTCCTCTCCCTTCTCTAAATCCGAACTGGCTTTCTGGTAACTTCTTTTTAATTTCTTTCTTTAACAATCTATTTAGCATACTAGCGTATATTTTATAGGCCGTGCAAGTTAGTGTTACTCCTCTGTTATTATCCGGCTCACTCTTATCTCCTTTCTTATATATTGGACAAATTACTCCAGTTTTTCATTGATCTGGCATTTCTTCTTCTTTCCATACTTTTTTTATCAACTTCCATCCTGCTGTCTCTAGCTCTTGTGGCATATATTTCCAGACCTCATTTTCTAACTTATCTTCTCCTGGTGCCTTCCTCAGTTTCAACTTGTTGATCTGTGTTCTAAATTCTTCTTGGCTAAATTCTTCTTGCTCTTCTGTGCTTCCACTTGAAATCCCCTCTTCTTTTCTTAATTCTTCTAGTACCATTATTCCTTTATTCTTACCATCCAACTTTTCTATAAAATGTGATTTCCACTCCTGCATTTTTATATTCTTATTTACTTCTTCTTTCCTTTTCCTAAATCTGTTTATTTACTTAAAAACTTCTCCTTCAGATGTTGCTTTCTTCAATTTTTTCTCTTCATTTCTTTGCAGCTTTATCCTTTTTGCTTCGCACCAATTTCTGTATTCTCTTTTTTTGCTTATGAAGTATGATCTTTCCACTTTCTGTTTCCTCTATAGTTTCACTGTCTTCCTTAACTCTTTTTCTCAGCTTTCCATTCCTTGTCATACCATCTCCTTTTTCCCAATTTCCATGTTTTTTTCTGTTTTTTAACCTTAGGCACTGATCTTTCCACCATTTCTTTTATTTCGCTCCATTTTTCATTTACTGCTTTTCCGTTTATCTTCCAATTCTTGCATGTATCTTGGAACTGGTCAATCATTTCTTGAGACCATTCTCTTTTCTCTTCTGTCATTTTTATTTCTTCCTATCATAAATCTAAATACGCTTCCATTGAAAAGTGATCTGACTCCGTTCTTTGTCCGATTTTTATCAGTTTAATTTGATCAAAAGCCTCTTGATTTCCTATAACATAATCAATTACCGTTTCACCTCTGCTGCTAACATATGTGAAATCTCCTTCTTTCCCTTTTTGTCCATTCACAATTCTCCATCCTTCTTCAGTGATTTCTTTAATCAGCCTCTTTCTTTCCTCATTTATTGTTTCATCCTTGGATTTCCTTATTTCTACTTCTTCACTTTACCAGTCCGTTTCATTAGTCCATCCTCTTTTTCTTCCTGTTCTCGCGTTCCAGTCTCCTACTAGAAATATACTTGCTGCATCTTGCTCTTCAACATTCTCTTTAATAATTTTCATCGTTTTTGTTACATTTTGACTCTATACTCCAGTAATTTTCCACTCCTGTTCTCCATATTTAATCTCTTGCACTATTATATTTTAATCCCATACTTCAAATTTCTTGCTCTCCATCTTTTTGTTTGGTCCTGTAATCATCCCTCCTTTCCCTCTCCCTTTCTTATGTTCTCTTACCGCTGATGCGAAATTCTATCCGAACTTTCTCGACATCTTACTTTGTAGATCCGACCATTTATCCTTTTCCAGCCACGTTTCTACAAACGCTGTCACGTCTACTTCGTTTAGTCAAGTCCACACCTCACTGTCCTTATTTAATACACCTGCTACATTCCAAACACATACACTTATATTACACCTACTCCTCCCCTCCACCTGGTTTTTTTCTTGCACCCATCATTCTTGTGATTTTTTTGTTTTATTTTCTTGAATCTTCTTCTTATCTTCCGTAAATTCACCGCTCCACTCATTATATCTGAACCATTGCTGTTGATCATTATTTGCATGTAACCCTCTTTTGTGATTTTTTCTTTGTTTCTTTCTTCTATTGATGTGTCCAGTATCATTTTCTGAATTTTCCTTTCTTTTCCAGTCAGATAATTTTCAATATATATATAGTTGTATTAATGAAAGTGAGTCTCAGCCCCCCCCCGTTCCCCCTACTCCTACTCAGCTCCCCCTGAATTTACGTAGTTATTTGCTTGTTTTTACATTATTTTTAATCAAATAATATTTGAGTGAGCTCCCCCTCAGCTCCCCCTTCACCGCCCCCCAAAAATA